CGAGATTCCGGCAGGAACACGGAAGGTTTAACGGTGGGCCCTAAAAAAAAAAAAATCGTCCTAGGCTAGGAACGTCCTAGCTCTGAATACCATGTTAGAATCTTACGGGAAAGTTGTGTGTCGACTATGGAAAGGGAAAGATACAAAGGAGAAACCTAAGGGGTTGTACCCCACAGTGAGTACCCCACTAAGCCTAACAACACTATAACAAATATACACATATGTTTGACAAACATATCATTACATGGGCTTACATTAGTCCAGACAAAGCCTCCTACACTGGCTTTAACTCATACAAAGACTTCCGCTACAACAGGAAGCTACCATCCTATGTATACGATCCTACTCAATCACTTCAAATTCTAATACTAGGGAAGGACCCATGTCAGACTATAGAACGAGAATGAATGAACTATGAAAGAGTTTGCTAGAAGTACTAACCCTAATTGGGTTGTACCCCTTGTGGGCTACCCCACTATAGCCTACACAAAGTAAGCACTAAAACAATTTGACAAGTTGGAGTTGTACGCGCATAAGGTGCCTCAGTAAGGAATTAGGGAAAATTCCTTACATGTATAGTGTTGTACAAGGTGAAAAGTGAGATGTATGGTTTGTTTCAGTTCCCTCATTTACCTCATTACACGACCTGTTCTGTAGAATATCTTGCAATCTCAGAATTTGAGCGTGTTGTATCACATGCACCGTCAGAGGCCTGGTGGACCAACAGCCCGCAACCGCGATTCGTAATCCAAAGAACGAAAGTAGCGGCGCGTCCCACTCCGCTCCACACAAGCACCCTCAGTATTGTGCCCTTGACTCAGCCCTTCAGGACCGCCGAAAGGAAGGAGCAAGCAGCATGCAGCACGCAGCACGAATACGCTCAGGCACCACAGCCACGCTTGCGACACGCGCAATCGAGGCGCTTTTTCACCGTCAAGGCCAAGCTCGTTCTGCTCAGGCCAGGCGGTGCTTACGCACCCCCGCGCCTCGACTCGTGAAGGCCAAGTACAAATGCACACGTTGCTGTCAGTATCAGCTCATCTAGCAACCAACAACCAGGCCTAACAATCAGCTCCATTCAACTTCGATTCTTCGCCTTCGCTATCCACCCACCGTTTCTCGTCGACTTTGCTAATTACACTCGGTCGCGCCAGCCAAGCCCATCAAGATGAACACTCTCCGCTTATCCCTCCTCGCGCTCCTCGCGGCGGCGCTCCTGCTGCACCTGCTGCCGGCGCGCTCTGCCGCGTCCGACTTCGAGTCGGCCATCGCCCACGACGACTTCCTCGAGGACGCTGACGACGCCAGCGACGTCGCAGAGCATCGCATCCTGGCCGGCTCGGGAGGCGCGTACAAGCCCAAGCACAAGAAGCGCCGCAACGCCGTCGGCGACGGCGAGGGGTACTGCCCCTATGCCGGCAAGTCTGGCCCGTCGCCTAAGAATGAGTACTGTGGCGGCGCGTGCTGCATTAAGTCTCACAGAATCTTAACCCACTAAATTCCGCGTCCGTCAAGCTCCCAGCTTTTGTTTCTTTCCCTCGTCTGACCTAAATGCCAGTGTTTCCTGCATGACTCGACCATCGTGTCCCAAGTGCCTCCTTCCCCATTTCCCATCGCCACGCCCGTCGTACTGACTTACTATGATTCGAATCTGTCGTGTCGCTGTGGCGATGTGCAATGCGACGCTTGCTAACCTCTTCCTGCGCTCTTCCCCTCCGGACATCTGCGTGCACGCGCGTACAATGCAGAGCCCCGAGTACCCGTGCTGCGGCGGCGACAAGTGCTGCAAGAAGGGCGGCTGCTGCCAGAAGAACGGCGTCTTCGTCTGCTGCAAGAGCTACTAGCTCCGAACCGCAGTCGCTGCAAGCGCTGGGATTTAGGCTCTGAGGCCTCGAAGAGTTCACTTTCTGAAATATCTCGATTCTGGAGCCCAGCCTACTAACCCGTAGACGGACATGACCTTGTTCTAGGTACTGGTTTTATGTGCTGTGATTTGGCCTCGTGGGTTAGGTGTGCAATATTTGCCGGAATGATTAGCAGTAGAATGCAAAGATGCCGTCGCATTAGATGGTTGTATCAGATTTACCTAGCTCGGTTACCGCAATGCTGTGCCTCTGCAATGAAGCTTTTCACCGTCCCACATCCGTTCCTGAGGCAATGAAGGCATCCCACTTCGCTGGGTTGTTCTTTCTCAGGCATTGCGTTCCTCTACATCTGGTGCGCAGCGTCACTATATCTCTGTTCCGTTGCTTTCAACTCAACGCTAGGAGAGAATGCCTTTCCAGTATACTGGGCTTCGTGAGATCAAATGCCCAGGAGATTTACACAATCATCGCCTCAGGATGATCGGGCGGCTTTATGTGTGGCACTTTTCACTAACCGTATGTGTGACAACTCTACTAAAGCTAAGCTGTACGGTATCATGTTCATTTTCAGATGTGGATGGAGTAGGTCTACCGAGACCTTCTACCGTACCACACTTGTTTCTCCATCCAGCTGCACCCTGCCTGCATCTCCTGCTGTCACCTACCTGCAGGCCCCTAGTGTCGACTGTCATCCCAGCTGCACGTGTAGCTGCCCCTCGGATGCCAATGCTGCCTGCCCCTCCTGAATGGATTGGACGGCTATAGTCCTGCCTGCCACCGAGCCAAGCGCAGACAAGTCGGCTCCAATCAAGACGGGGATGGGCAAGCTTCCACTGCCGTGGCATTAGCATCTGCCAGGTCATAGTATAGTCGAGTTCTACCAAGCAATGACGGTGTGCCTCCCATGTTGCCACTGCCACATTTGGTGCATTGTTGCTTCCACATCTACTGTACTACTTCCAGCCCGTATGCACTGACTTCACCCATCTCTTCAACCCACTATAACTGGTCGTAACTCGTGCGATTTTTCCACAATGATTAGAGAGCGGCATATTTGTTAAGTTTGGGCGGCAGGGTCCACATTGCTGTCATTGTTTTTGGCACACCACGATTTGAGATTTGAGTGGATGGAAGGGCATGTATAAGGAAGCATTTAGGGATATACACACTGTTGGTGTAATGGATTACTTCGCAATAACGGTGTCGCAACAATTCTGTTCGGATTCTCGGGAGGTTCACACAATTCAAGGGCATAGGTGGCGGCACGCGTCTCTGTACAAGCACACTCGTCTGCTCTTGACTCGCCCCTCGGGAACCGTACAGTAGAGCACAAACGCCCTTGATTTCAGACCGCGCTTCGATACCTTCAACCCAATCTTTCCGTGTATCGGGGCTGGACTATTGACGGCTCGCATCGCACTGTACTCGGCTTATCGTATAATCGTACGATGAGGAGGGGATCTTCGTGTAATGGTGGTTCCACAACACATTCCAGCGCTTGTTTGAGATGTTGTGACACACCATACCTTGCTTCCTTGTTTCCTCGACTTGTGCAGCTATCGTCGAGGGGACACGAAAATCCTGATGTGACATGCCCCCGAAAGCAAGTTTGGTCAGGGTGGATACTTCTTTCTTTGGATTACGTTGTCGCGTTTTAATTCACGACTTTCGCCGAGTCAGCATCACCGACCCGCAACGTCGTGTGAGATTATAGGGGAGTTATTGGAGCACAGGCTAGCATAGTGTAGTTGATACCAGACCAGACCAGAGCCATGCTGGCGTCACCGCAAGCGAGGCGCCATGTCTTGTCACTGACGTGACGACAAGTCTAGTTGTGCTGATGAGATCTCCCTCCGACAGCTCGGTAGTACGACACGAATGCAGCATTAGGAATGTTTGGTTGCTCATTTCATAATGCTAACAGTGCGTCCGTCCATCCATTTCCAGCTATCGGCATAAGACCATCCAGCCTCGAGACAGATTAAGAGTACCAGCCCTATTATAATCGCTCTTTTATTCTATCTAGTGTTTCAGTTTAGCGCCTATTCCGCCTCGTTCGATTAGTATCAGCCACACGAGTCGTACAAATAAGAATGAACGCTCTACGCTTCTCTCTCCTCGCACTCCTCGCGGCAGCCCTCGTGCTGCACCTGCTGCCCGCGCGCGCCACCGCGTTCCCCGTCGAGTCGGCGATCGCAAACGGCGAGCTCAGTTTCGACGACGGCGCCAGAGATCTTCGCAACCTAGCCGGCAGTAGTAGCGGAGCGGCGACCATCGACGAGGGCGGCGCGAAGTCTGGCAAAAAAGGCGGCTCGAAAAAGCGAAAGTCAAAGAAGCACGGAAAGGGAGCTTCCACGGCCGGCAATTTCGTGTTCTGCCCTTACGCTAGCTAGTCTGGCGGATCGATGAAGGCCGAGAAGTGCGGTGTGGCTGCATTGTGAGTTGCACGGGAAACCGACGCACTGAATTGCACATCGTGCATTTTCGCAGCGTTACCCTGTTTCGTTTCCACTTTCTGTGCGTCATCGCCACCGTCGCCTGAACTACTTGATTCGCTCGTTTGCGTGTCCCTTTTCCCACTCCTTTTCGCTAATCCTCCCGTGCCGCCGCCGTGGCAAGTCAACTCAAGACTGTCGCAGTGGCTTCCGCAGAGCTCCCCCTAACCTTTCCACATGCGCCCATTCTCGCCCCCACCTCGCTCCCTCCCTCCAGTTTCACAGCCTACGCAGTCCGCGCTGCCAGCCTAATGACCCGCATTCGGCGCTCGTGTGGCGTTTCTGCTTCTACGCTTTTAGTGCAAAGCTTTGCTTCCATGTGATGGGTGCTCTTAGAGTACGTAGTTGCCGCCATGCATTTGTAGGGAAAGTGCATGTATCGAGTTCCAACTATAGTTGGGGGTTAGCAGGAAAGTTAGGCACCATGTGTCATGCCCTTGCAAGATTTGGCTAGAAAAGGCACCCTACCAGAGTTGGAACTGCGTTCAGCTTTCTTCCCTGCTAAAAAGATTTCCACAATGAGAACTCGCATTCTTAGCTTCATTTACATATGATCCTCCCCCTGATGAATCAACAAGCATCCCACCCCCACACCCAAACATAACATGTGCCCATTGCCTCCTGATCGCCTTGACCACTTTTACAAAAACTTTCGGCTGCCTGACTGTGCGCCTGAGAACCGCCCGGAGAGGCCCTGAGCCATGCCGTCTGCCGTCCACTTCATGGCCTTGGGTTTCACCTCTAGATCTTTCTCCCTATCCCACATCCGCCACCCAGCCTCCCCACCTCCCCCTCTCTCACTCACCCCTTCCCCTTTCCCCACACCCTCTCCCTTCCCCTTCCCCTTCTCCTTCCCCTTCGTCTTTTTCTTGCCCTCCTCGGCCTGTTTCTTCCGGTGCTGCTCCACCAATGAAACGGCTTGTTTTTGGGCGGCAAGGTTGTCCACTAGTGCCGCCGTGCGCTTGTCCTGTAGTGACTGCAGGGTGGCGGCTGAGTCAGCAGAAGGGCCTTCCAGCGCATTTGCAGCAGACGAATAGGCCTCCAGGTACCTGAAAAGAGGGTTCAGTCAGAATCGGTTGGGGGAGTTGGGTGCATTGCCAGGCGTGGAAAAAAGGGAATGATGGGTACACGATGGGAACATGCCACCAGGCGCATAGGTGCGGGTCCAGTAAGGGGTAAAGATGGAGGGGTGGTGTTTGTTTTGGGCCCCTAGACTGGTCATTGGCCTCTCCAGTACAGAAAAGTAAGAACACATTGGGCTAGTGCTCACTGTTGCTTGGCTCTGGCAGCCCGCTGCTCGGGGTTGTCGGTCCATGCTGACGTGTCGCCCCGGCCCACCTTGCCACTGCGACTGAAGAACGTGTTGGTCTGAGCTGGCGGGCCCGCCTGGGAGGGCACGGACGGGGGGAGATGGAAGGGGGGGGGGGAGATGGAGAGGGGAGGGGAGGTTGGGAGAAGGGGCAGGGACAGAGAGACGAGATGGAGGAGGGGATAGGGTTGGGGTAGTTAACTTTCGAGTCGACTCAAAAGTCACCTCGTTACAATGGCACGCGACAACTTTTGAGTCAACTCAAAAGAAGGGGCAGGGGCAGAGGGACGAGATGGACGAGGGGATAGGGATGGGGTAGTTATTGGCTTGAAGTTGGGTGGGTGTGCGCAAGGAACATGCGTGCATAATGGCTTGATGGCTTAGTGGGAAATGCTGTGGTTGAAATACACCACCATGCGTGTGCCATGGTGCTCACCAGCGCCCATCAGAGCGACCAGCACGTGAGCAACGCCCACCAGAGCGACCCGCATCTCCAACTCCTGAATGTGGCTCCAACCCAAGCAGCCACCACGGCAGACAAAGTTCCCCCAACCCTTTCTCGACCCCTCAAATCTTGAGGTTCTGAATTTTTCTTTCATATGAGGGCCTTGTGTTTAAGTTAAGCGTGACCAGACCATTCCGTTGCTGGAAAAGCTCGATCCTCGTTCATGCAATCCGATTTGATTTGATTCTGCTGGGTGTTCTTCCGTAGGCATGTTTGCAATGCCACCCAACTTGCGCATGGGCAACGTTCCACCGCGAGCCCATCCGAAGCCAATCGAAAGCCCACTGGGAGCCCATTGCAACACCACACCACGCCACACCATGCCACACCACACCGCGTCACACCCACCTGTCGTTCGAGCAGCAGCTCTGTCATCCATGTCTCGCGCTCCACGCCCTCCCGCCCGGCTCGCCCTGTCACCGCCCACCTGTCACCGCCCACCTGTCACCGCCCACCTGTCACCGCCCACCTGTCACGAGGGCGGCAGATTCATCACGCCATGCCACACCCACCTGTCGTTCGGGTGGCAGCTCTGTCATCCACGTCTCGCGCTCCACGCCCTCTTGCTTCGCTATCCCCAGCAGCTCCTCGTTCGCAGGAAGTCAAGGGCAGTCAAGGGCAGTCAACGGCAGTCAACGGCAGTCAACAGCAGTCAACAGCGACCTGCGTCTCAAGCTCTCAGTGCCCACCTGTCGTTCGGGCGGCAGCTCTGTCATCCATGTCTCGCGCTCCACACCCTCCCTCCCCTCTCGCCCTCTCACTGCCCACCTGTCACAAGGGCGGCAGATTCATCAAACCATGCCACACCCACCTGTCCTTCAGGAGGGAGCTCTGTCATCCACATCTCGCACTCCATGCCCTCCCGCCCCCCTCGCCCTCTCACTGCCCACCTGTCACGAGGCCGGCAAATTCATCACACCATGCCATGCCACACCCACCTGTCGTTCAGGTGGCAGCTCCGTCATCCACGTCTCGCGCTCCACGCCCTCCCGCTTCGCCGTCCCCAGCAGCTCGTCGTCCCCGGGCAGGGCCTCGCCTGGTGGTCAAGAACAGGTAAAGTAGGAGTCAAGGGCGGAGGTGTTACAATTGCTCTCCATCCCCCCTACCCCTCACAACCCCTTCCCTCCCTCTCTCGCTGTCCCCACCTTAGCAGCTCGTCATCCCCGGGCAGGGCCTCGCCTGGTGCATGTGCGGTCAAGGCAAGTCAACAACAGTCAACACAGTCAACACAGTCAAGAATAGCCAAACCAGGAGTTCAGGGAGGGGGCGTTCTGCTTGCTCCGCGCCCTCCGCCCTCAATGCCCCCCGTCTCGCCAACCCCAGCAGCTCGTCATCCCAGGGCAAGGCCTCGCCTGGTGCATGTGCGGCCAGCAGCAGTCAACAGCAGTCAAGGGCGGTCAAAGGAGGTGTTAAACGCGGAAACGTTGTGCTTGGAGGACGCCTCTGAGCTTGCCCCAGTCCCTCCCCCAAACCCTTTCCTTTCCTCCCCCCCCACAAACCTCTGAGCTTGCGCCACTCTGCCGCCTCCCTCAGCGCCCTTACCTCCGCCTGAGGGGTGGGGGAACCCATCCTGCCCTTCCCCCCACTTCCCCCTTTCTTCCCGTCCCTCCTCCCTCCTAACCCCTTCCCTTCCCAACCCCGCCCCCACCCACCTCTGAGCTTGCGCCACTCTGCCGCCTCCCTCAGCGCCCTCAGCTCCGCCTGAGGGGTGGGGGAGCAGCGGGGGAAGGGGATGGGGAGAGATGATATGGCACGAGAGGAGGTCATGGGTTTAGGGAAAGAGGGAAAGGGAGAGGGGAGTCAAAAGAGACGTGGCAAGGAGCCGTGGGATTGGCATGGCAACATGGAGACCTTTGCCTGTGCCCCCATTCCCCCCATTCTATCCATCTCCCATTCGCCAATTCCCCCATACTATCCTTCCCCCATTCCCCCATACTCTCCTTCCCCCATTCCCCCGTTCCCCCGTTCTATCCTTCCCCCAATCCCTCGCCATCCAGATCTCCTTTTTTCCACGACTTTATGTCAGCAGCACACATATGCTTACAGATCGCAAGACACACATAAAACTTTTATTTCACTGATAATAGCTCATATAAACAAATAAGCTCATATGAACTAATAGCTCATATGAACTAATAGCTCATATGAACTAATAGCTCATATGAACTAATAGCTCATAGGAACCCTCGTGTCCCACCAACGCCCATGTCCCATCCCACCAGAAAACCCCTCCATGTCCTCTCACCTCCATGTCCTCTCACCTCCATGTCCTCTCACCTCCATGTCCTCTCACCTCCATGTCCTCTCACCTCCATGTCCTCTCACCTCCATGTCCTCTCACCTCCATGTCCTCTCACCTCCATGTCCTCTCACCTCCATGTCCTCTCACCTCCATGTCCTCTCACCTCCATGTCCTCTCACCTCCATCTCCTCTCACCTCCATGTCCTCTCACCTCCATGTCCTCTCACCTCCATGTCCTCTCACCTCCATGTCCTCTCACCTCCATGGCCGTGCGCTCCTCTCGGACTGCCATCTCAGCATCCACCACCGATCTCTGCACTCCTTCACCTCGCCATACCCCAGTGTCCTTTCTCCACATACACCTAATTACTCCATACTCCAGAATACCCCTCCAATCCTCCATGCCCTCTCACCTCCATGCCCTCTCCCTCACCTCCATGGCCTTGTGCTCCTCTCTGGCTGCAATCCCCGCAACAACCACCGGTCTCTGCACTCCTTCACCTCGCTCGCCATACCCCAGTGTCCTTTCTCCTCATACACCACATGACACCATACTCCTCCACAGTACCCCTCCAATCCTCCATGCCCTCTCTCTCACCTCCATGCCCTCTCACCTCCATGCCCTCTCACCTCCATGCCCTCTCACCTCCATGCCCTCTCTCTCACATCCATGCCCTCTCTCTCACATCCATGCCCTCTCTCTCACATCCATGCCCTCTCTCTCACCTCCATGCCCTCTCACCTCCATGCCCTCTCACCTCCATGCCCTCTCACCTCCATGCCCTCTCACCTCCATGCCCTCTCTCTCACATCCATGCCCTCTCTCTCACATCCATGCCCTCTCTCTCACATCCATGCCCTCTCTCTCACATCCATGCCCTCTCTCTCACATCCATGCCCTCTCTCTCACATCCATGCCCTCTCTCTCACATCCATGCCCTCTCTCTCACATCCATGCCCTCTCTCTCACATCCATGCCCTCTCTCTCACATCCATGCCCTCTCTCTCACATCCATGCCCTCTCTCTCACATCCATGCCCTCTCTCTCACATCCATGCCCTCTCTCTCACATCCATGCCCTCTCTCTCACATCCATGCCCTCTCTCTCACATCCATGCCCTCTCTCTCACATCCATGCCCTCTCTCTCACATCCATGCCCTCTCTCTCACATCCATGCCCTCTCTCTCACATCCATGCCCTCTCTCTCACATCCATGCCCTCTCTCTCACATCCATGCCCTCTCTCTCACATCCATGCCCTCTCTCTCACATCCATGCCCTCTCTCTCACATCCATGCCCTCTCTCTCACATCCATGCCCTCTCTCTCACATCCATGCCCTCTCTCTCACATCCATGCCCTCTCTCTCACATCCATGCCCTCTCTCTCACATCCATGCCCTCTCTCTCACATCCATGCCCTCTCTCTCACATCCATGCCCTCTCTCTCACATCCATGCCCTCTCTCTCACATCCATGCCCTCTCTCTCACATCCATGCCCTCTCTCTCACATCCATGCCCTCTCTCTCACATCCATGCCCTCTCTCTCACATCCATGCCCTCTCTCTCACATCCATGCCCTCTCTCTCACATCCATGCCCTCTCTCTCACATCCATGCCCTCTCTCTCACATCCATGCCCTCTCTCTCACATCCATGCCCTCTCTCTCACATCCATGCCCTCTCTCTCACATCCATGCCCTCTCTCTCACATCCATGCCCTCTCTCTCACATCCATGCCCTCTCTCTCACATCCATGCCCTCTCTCTCACATCCATGCCCTCTCTCTCACATCCATGCCCTCTCTCTCACATCCATGCCCTCTCTCTCACATCCATGCCCTCTCTCTCACATCCATGCCCTCTCTCTCACATCCATGCCCTCTCTCTCACATCCATGCCCTCTCTCTCACCTCCATGCCCTCTCTCTCACATCCATGCCCTCTCTCTCACATCCATGCCCTCTCTCTCACATCCATGCCCTCTCTCTCACCTCCATGCCCTCTCTCTCACATCCATGCCCTCTCTCTCACATCCATGCCCTCTCTCTCACATCCATGCCCTCTCTCTCACATCCATGCCCTCTCTCTCACCTCCATGCCCTCTCTCTCACATCCATGCCCTCTCTCTCACATCCATGCCCTCTCTCTCACATCCATGCCCTCTCTCTCACCTCCATGCCCTCTCTCTCACATCCATGCCCTCTCTCTCACATCCATGCCCTCTCTCTCACATCCATGCCCTATCTCTCACATCCATGCCCTCTCTCTCACATCCATGCCCTCTCTCTCACATCCATGCCCTCTCTCTCACATCCATGCCCTCTCTCTCACATCCATGCCCTCTCTCTCACCTCCATGCCCTCTCTCTCACCTCCATGCCCTCTCTCTCACATCCATGCCCTCTCTCTCACATCCATGCCCTCTCTCTCACATCCATGCCCTCTCTCTCACATCCATGCCCTCTCTCTCACATCCATGCCCTCTCTCTCACCTCCATGCCCTCTCTCTCACATCCATGCCCTCTCTCTCACATCCATGCCCTCTCTCTCACATCCATGCCCTCTCTCTCACCTCCATGCCCTCTCTCTCACATCCATGCCCTCTCTCTCACATCCATGCCCTCTCTCTCACCTCCATGCCCTCTCTCTCACATCCATGCCCTCTCTCTCACCTCCATGCCCTCTCTCTCACATCCATGCCCTCTCTCTCACATCCATGCCCTCTCTCTCACATCCATGCCCTCTCTCTCACATCCATGCCCTCTCTCTCACATCCATGCCCTCTCTCTCACATCCATGCCCTCTCTCTCACATCCATGCCCTCTCTCTCACATCCATGCCCTCTCTCTCACATCCATGCCCTCTCTCTCACATCCATGCCCTCTCTCTCACATCCATGCCCTCTCTCTCACATCCATGCCCTCTCTCTCACATCCATGCCCTCTCTCTCACATCCATGCCCTCTCTCTCACATCCATGCCCTCTCTCTCACCTCCATGCCCTCTCTCTCACATCCATGCCCTCTCTCTCACATCCATGCCCTCTCTCTCACATCCATGCCCTCTCTCTCACATCCATGCCCTCTCTCTCACCTCCATGCCCTCTCTCTCACATCCATGCCCTCTCTCTCACATCCATGCCCTCTCTCTCACATCCATGCCCTCTCTCTCACATCCATGCCCTCTCTCTCACCTCCATGCCCTCTCTCTCACATCCATGCCCTCTCTCTCACATCCATGCCCTCTCTCTCACATCCATGCCCTCTCTCTCACATCCATGCCCTCTCTCTCACATCCATGCCCTCTCTCTCACATCCATGCCCTCTCTCTCACCTCCATGCCCTCTCTCTCACATCCATGCCCTCTCTCTCACATCCATGCCCTCTCTCTCACATCCATGCCCTCTCTCTCTCACCTCCATTTCTTTGCGCTCCTCCCTGGCTGCAATCTCTGCGTCCACCACCGATCTCTGCACATTCAGTCATGCACGCACAGCCATGCATGCATGCACACAGGTCCGTAGAAATGCATGCGCAGATGCACACACATGCACACACATGCACACACATGCACACACATGCACACACATGCACACACATGCACACACACGCACACACATGCACACACATGCACACACATGCACACACATGCACACACATGCACACACATGCACACACATGCACACACATGCACACACATGCACACACATGCACACACATGCACACACATGCACACACATGCACACACATGCACACAGATGCACACACATGCACACACATGCACACACATGCACACACATGCACACCCATGCACACACATGCGCACACATGCACACACATGCACACACATGCACACACATTCACATACATGCATCCACATGCATGCGCATATGAACAGATACGTACACCCGCCCACATTCATTAAAATGGATGAGAGCAGGATGCAGAGCACGCATGCCAAGATGTTTAAGCCCATGCGAATGCATGTAAGCACGGAGGGATTAAGGTTTGCAGGGATATAAGCTTTCGTGATGGATTCACACATGCACAATTGAACATCGGGGGTGTAGCTCACATGGTAGAGCGATCGCTTTGCATGCGATAGGTAAGGGGATCGATGCCTCCACCTCCAGGATTTTTGAAACTCCATATCTGGGAGGCTCAGAAAGCTTCCCATGGAGGCCGTCACAAAAGTTTTAAATTCGTCCAGCCTCTAGCGTCAAAATCAGTTTTTTCTCCTGGGTGGGTTGGTGCGGTGCTCAAGTGTCCCAAATCGCATGAGCGTTTTCCTTGAGTGGGTGGGCTTTAAGGTGGTAGCCTGACTCTGTTTTTTCCATGCCTGACTCTGTTTTTTCCATGCCTGACTCTGTTTTTTCCATGCCTGACTCTGTTTTTTCCATGCCTGACTCTGTTTTTTCCATGCCTGACTCTGTTTTTTCCATGCCTGACTCTGTTTTTTCCATGCCTGACTCTGTTTTTTCCATGCCTGACTCTGTGTTGGTAGCCTGAAAAGGGGGGGGGGCTTCCAGAGCAGCGCACCTTACTGGGGTCCTTGAGTCGATTCACTGCATCGCTGAGCCTCACAGACAGGGAGACACACACGCATATGCATGCACGCATGCAGGAAAGCGTGCACGGCTGCGTACCTTGCCTCCAGTGTTGGAGGCCTCAAGGGTCGGGCGGGGTGTTCAAGAGCAGCGCACCCTGGAGGGGTCCTTGAGTCGATTCGCTGCATTGTTGAGCCGCGGAGGCACCCTAGAGGCACCCCAGAGGCACCCCAGAGGCACCCCGGCATCAATGAGTCAGTTCACGGCAGGTGTTCAAGAACAGCGCACCTTACTGGGGTCCTTGAGTCGATTCCCTGCATCGTTGAGCCTCAGGAACACACACGCCTGTGCATGCGGGCATGTGTGCTCACATCACATCACATGCATGCATGCATGCCTTACCCCGGTTGAAAAGCTTGAAGCAGCGCACCTTGGCGGGGTCCTTGAGTCGATTCACTGCATCGTTGAGCCTCAGAAACGCCTCCTGCGCGCGCGGGTGGCTGCACTTGTCCGGATGCACCAGCAGCGATGCTTTCCAGTAGCTGGATGGAGTGGGAAAAGAGGGAAGGTGTTGAGAGGGATGGAAGCGAATCAAGGATTCATGATTCGGATGCACAAGGTGCGCGAAGGAGGAGGTGGGAGGCAGAAACGCCTCCGGAGCGCGCGGGTGGCTGCACTTTTCTGGATGCACCAGCAGCAGTAGCTGTGGAGGGGGGGAGGAAGAGAGGGAAGGAGAAGGGGTGTTTGAAGCGATGGAGGGGCATTTGGAATCCATTACACGGTGTGGTAAGAAGAAACCTTCTTCTACTGTTAGGAGGTATTCATGATGCCTCCTGAGAGGGGCATTTAGGATCCATTACACGGGATGGACACGGTATGGAAAGGTATCCATGACGCCTCCTCAGAGTAGAGTAGAGGAAGGTTTCGAACCGCAGCAAGCCGTGTGTGTGGTCTAAGAAAGACTTTCAGCAGCAGCCGCCACCCCCACGAGGGGCATTTAGGATCCACTACACGGGATGGACATAGTGTGGAAAGGTGGTATTCATGACGTTACCTGAGCGCTCAAGTGGCTGCACTTTTCCCCTCCTACCCCTCCCTCCTCTCCTCCTCCATCCTCCACCCTCCACCTCTCCCCCCTTCCCAGCCTCACCGCTTCTTGATCTCGCCGTCGCCAGCAGCAGCCGTGACCCCCAGAATGGCGTACGCCGTGAGCTCCAGGTCCAGAATGCGCTCCACCTGAGAGGGGGGAGGGGGGGAAGGGGGCACGAGAGTAGTAGGAGGGCAGGACACGATTGAAGTGATGGAGTGCACACCAGCAGTGCATGGAGCGGCAGCAGCAGTCACCACCACGATGGCGTACGCGGTCAACTCCGGGTCCAGGATGCGCTCCACCTGAGGGGAAGGGGGAAGGAGGGCAGGCAGGCAGGCATGCAACGCGCAGCAGCAGCAGCAGCAGCAGCAACAACAGTCACCCCCATGTTGGATCCGCGCTCAGGCGGGGCTTCCGGAATGCACCCAGGTGGGAGAGCTATGCTGATTTTTTTTTTGAGAATTCTCAACCTTACCTCAAGAGTGATTCCAATCCAACATAGCTGGATCCATGCTCAGGCAGGGCTTCTGAAATGCCCCCGGGTGGGAGAGGGGCAGGAGAGCAGGTGAGCACGCGTGCAGGAGAGTAGGAGGGGAGACATGATCGCAATGAAGCACCTGTCACTCACCCCTACCTCTTACTCCCCACCTACTCCCCTCACCCTCCTCTCCTCACCTCCTCGTATTTCTCCGCCTGGGTGGCGTTGGCAGCCTCTGCAGCAAGGACGGGTGGCATGGGGCCCACGAAAGGGCTCTCTTGTAGCGCCTGCTCGGCCTCCCTGCAACCATGGGGTGGGGGGACGATGGTCGGAGGATGTGGGGACGATGTTGGTTGATGGGGGGTGAACGCACCTCAGCAGCCAGGGCGGGGGGCATGGGGCCCACAAAGGGGCTTTCTTGTAGCGCCTGCTCCGCCTCCCTGCAGTGATAGGGTGGATGGTGAGGGATTGGGGTGATCAATATAATGTTGAAGGGGAATGAAGCGCCTCTGCAGCGAGGGCAGGCGGCATGGGGCCCACAAATGGGGCTCTCCTGTAGTGCCTGCTCCGCCTCTCTGCAGTGATTGGGGGAGGGGCGGGAGACCATGGGGGGAGGATGCAGGGACAATGGGGAGGACAATGGGGGAGGATGCAAGGACAATGGGGAGGACGATGGGGGGTGGATGCAGGGACAATGGGGAGGAGGATGGGGGGCAGTGCTGGTTGTTGGGGGTGAGAGAGCCTCAGCAGCCAGGGCGGGGGGCATGGGGCATGGAGCAGGCATGGGGCATGGAGCAGGCATTAGATGGGGGGAGGATGGGGGGACGATGGGGGGACGATGGGGGGGCGATGGGGGGACGATGGGGGGATGATGGGGGGACGATGGGGGGACGATGGGGAGACGGGGAGGATATTGGGTACGGTGTTGGCTGCTGGGGTTGAAAGCGCCTCTGCAGCGAGGGCGGGCGGCATGGGGCCCACCAAGGGCTCTCCTGTAGCGCCTGCTCCGCCTCCCTGCATTGATGGGGTGGATGGTGGGGGAGGATAGTGGGAGAATGTTGGCTGTTGGGGTTGAAAGCGTTCTCCTGCAGTGCCTGCGCCACCTCCCTGTAACATTGGGGGCGGGGGAGGTTCCAAGACGATGCTGATTGGGGGGGACGACGGCGAGACGATGTGTGTTGAGTGTGACTGCTGCCTTCACCCCAACTCACACTTTTCCCCACTCGCTCCATGCCCCCACCCCTCCCCCCACTCTCTCCATCTCCTCGACGGCGCGGGTGAGCGATGCTGCAGCCGCCAACTGCTGCCTTCCCCCCAACTCACTCCCTCCCCCCACCCCTCTCCCCAACCTTCTCCCCACCCATCCCCTCTGCCCCCACTCACTCCATCTCCTCCACGGCGCGGGTGAGCGATGCCGCAGCTGCCAACTGCGTTGCTGTGGGCATGGCCGTGACCTTTCCCTCCATTTCCCTCCCCCCCACCCCTCCCCCCTCTTCCCACCCATCCCCTCTGCCCCCACTCACTCCATCTCCTCCACGGCGCGGGTGAGCGACGCTGCAGCGGCCAGCTGCGCTGCCGTGGGCATGGCGGGGCCCGTGCTCCTAAGGGGAGGGGGGAAGGGGGGGAGGAAGAGTTGAGGGGAGTTGGGGGCGGGAGGTTGGGGGGTGGTTGGTGTGGAGGGAGGGGGGGCGGTGTGGAGGGAGGGCTTGAACCGTGGGGCGGACCAGAGGGGGTTTACGGGTGGGCGCTGGGATGCTGCAGCATGGAAAGCACATGGCCCCCGTCCCCCCTGAAAGAATGTGCCCTTGCCCCCCTCACACGCCCCCTCTTCCTTCCAGCACCTCTCTTCCCCCAAGCATCCCTCTCCCCCGGAATGCCACTCTTCCCCCAAGCATCTCGATCCCCCCGAATGCCCCTGCTTTCGAACAAGTGCTGCTCACCGTCTTCTCCTCGCTGCCTCTGCTGCCTCTTCCCCCTCGCCCTCTCCCCTCCCTCTCCCTCCTCTCCCCACTCCGCCCTCCCCCTCCCTCTCCCCCTCTCCGTCTCCCCCCTCGTCGGCCCCTCCTTTCCGCGAGGGGCCTATCACCACTGCCGCTTCGTCTCCTCCCCTTCCCCCCCGCCCTTCCGCCAAGTCGTCCCCGCCATCCCTCCCCTCCCCGCGCTCATCCCCCTTCCCCCCACCGACACCCTTTTCAGCCCCAGCAGCAGCAGTAGCAGAGTCCGGATCTGGAAGATTCTGCAGCAGCTTGGCCACTAGCGGCACGACACGTGGCAGGCAGCGCGGAGCCGCACTGGGAAGCTGATACAGCGAAGCGCGCGAGGACGACGAGGCGCGCTTGCTCTTACCACTCTTCCCTTTGCACTTGCCTTGGGAATCTATCCCCAGCGAGCGGAAGATGCTTCCAAGAAGCTTCTTGAGGCGGCGGTCCGGGATGCCGCCAACGTCGACCGCCTCGCCGCCGTCGACGCGCTCGAGGAGGCGCACGAGGTCGTGCGACACGTCCAACGGGAACTCCCGCATCATCCGCCGCAACTCCCGCTCCAACCGATCTTCTGCCGACTCACCGTCCTGCTCATGCTCCCTTCCGCCTTCCTTCCTTCTCCGCTTCTCCTTCTCCTTTCCCCGCTTCTCCCGCCGCCGCTCACGCTTCTTGCCATGATCTGACGACGAATCGGAATGGCTGCTGCTCTCGCTCTCACTACTGCTGCTATTTCGACTGGAGCCCGACCAATCAGAGTTCGAGGCGTCATCGTCGCTTGAAGACCGTCGCTTCTTCTCCCGTCGTTTCCGTCGCCTCTCGCCTTTCTCCCGTCGCCCTCGTTTTCGCTCCTTCTCCTTCCTCTCCTTCCTCTCCTTCCGTCCCTCCTCGCCTCGCCTCCCCTTCCCCTCCTCCTCCCCGTCGGTCTCGCTGTCGTCGCCGCTGCGCTTCTTCCGCTTTCTGTCATCCTTCGTCATGAGTCGTGTCGCCAGGTGGTGAAATGCGAATGATCAGGGAACCTCGCAACAACTTGAGGGTGACGATGAGTTCAGTAGTGTCAGCCGAGGGTCCGCAGGATTCCGCCGTCGGGAATTGGAAAGTTGAAGCAACTCCGCATAGTACACCCAATTCATATTGGTGATATACAGCAACTTTGATCAAAATTGGAACGCAACACATGTATCAAACATTTGCAAGCCGGTTTGTAATTCTCATTTTCAGCGCAAGAAGATGCCCAAAATGGCACTGGCGAGCGAGAAAAGCGCGAAGATCACGAGGGCAAAGACAAAGACGCCGGCTACTATGGTGAGGACCGGCACTCCCGAGGCTGATGGTGACTCTGACGAAGCGGCTTCGGGTGTGGTTTTGCTCCCAGCCGAAGCTGCAGCTGCGGCACGGGAATCAGTGGCTGGCGTGTCTCCAGATTCACCTGCCGCCCTGACAGTGAGCGCTGCAGAGATGAGAGTAGGCAGGATGCAGGCAGGGGGAGAGGAAGAACAAACGGCAGCACGGGGGCATGGGGGGAGTGTTGAAGGCATGGCGCATGGAGGGGGCATGGCGGGCGCATGGCGGGCAGTGAGGGATGACAAGAACGATGGAGCGAGTGTGGCTGGGTGAGCGCAGGGAGGGACGAACAAAGACCACTGATGCCAGGAAGCGCCCTGCACTACCAAGAAACACCGGGTCATGGCGCTGCACCATACCCACCCACGGGCCATGGCGCTGCGTCGCGCACCCACAGGCCATGAGAGTGAGTACAAGAGATGCACTGCACCGCTGCTGCATACTCACGGCACGAACCCCGGAGAGGAACGCGAGCACAACACACTCACGGCGGCACACGGCCGTGCGACACATGACTATGCGACACATGGCCGTGCGATTGTCGACTTACATGTGCGACGAGTCTGGCTCTGCGACCGACTGATCGATTGCGACACCCTGCCACGACGACGGAGAGTAAGCAGAGAGGCGGAAAGCGGGGGGTGCTTTACGCGATTGGATGCGTAGAACAGGGCAATATAGGAAAGCAGTTCCGAAACGCACTCGACGGCTAGTGTCCGCCATGGAATCGGCGCGACCTGTTTGCTAGTCAGCCATGACGAGGAGAACACCGCGACGCGCAGTCGCACTCCCCCCTCGCCTAGCTAGCCGCACCTGAGCCTATTGATGGGCGACACGTGGACCAATAAATTCGTTTCCGCAGAGCGCGCCGACCTGCGCTGCTTCAGGCCGCACCGCGACGGAACGGCGCAGGACGCGACGGACGCGAGCGACGCGGCGATGGCAGCCATGGGGGAGAGATATCAACCGCGAAGGACGGCGAGAGGCTATCGCGATTCGCGAAGGCTGATTGAGAGGACCAACCCGTTGTCGCTACGAGGAGAATATAAAATATCGATGAGGCGTGCGATGCGAGGTAGTCAGCGAGTCGGGCTGGTGCAGAAACCAGGTCTCAACTCAATGAAGTCTCGAAGCAGCCAATCGAAATCTACGAAGGGCGAATCTGCAGTTGTGGGAACGGATCTCGTAGACCATTGTTCTAGAAATCCTCGATACAAAGTCTTCCTCGACTTTTTCCAGGTGAGCATTTGCCAACTTGGGAATACAGCGCCACAAATAGGTAAGTTTACAAAAGTGACATATCCGTTCAAAAACCAGAGACCAATCAGATCCAACTTACCCAACCCGAACCAAGCTCTGTAATTGAGCTCAGACCTGTTTGCTTGGCTCGGCAAGCCTCCTCCCTCCAGCCACATTTATTTACCTGTTATTCTGTTTTACATTCATCGCCATAATGAGGTGCACAATAAAGTACCCCTCCTTTCTCCCCTCCCCCACCCAATCACCCTTCCGACAGGGGTGAGTTTGATCCCTCTCTCAACATGTCCCCCTCCTGCTCCTCCCCCTCCTCTCCCTCCTCGCCTCCCATCCCTTCTTCTCCCTCCTCCCTCTCCTCATTCCTCCCCTCCTCCTGCCGCTGCTCCTCACGCTGCTGCTGTTTCACCAGAATACAATCCAGTAACCCCCCCACCCCCACTATCGGCAACAGCCGATCCACACGCACCAATCGCAGCCCGTCCCGCCGTAACTCGCTGTCCACGTCACCCTTCCCCCCGCCCCCCCCCTCCACGCTGCACCCAGCCCCCTCCCCAGCCCGGCTCTGCCCCTCCCCACTCTCCCCCTCCCCCTCCTCCCTGTTGCGGTTCTGAGGGGTATAAAGCTCTGATAACTCCTGCAAGGAAGGAAAGGAGGGGCAGAGAGTGGAGAGGTGGGGTGCGGAGAGGGAGGGTGAGAAGAGGAAGAGTGAGGAGAGGGGGTCAGAGGAGGTTGGGCGGCAAGGAAGGAAGGAGGGAGCAGCAGGGAACGCACGGGGGGATCACCTCGGAGCAGCACTCGACGCACCATGAGCTGCTGCAGCAGGAAGCGACTAAAGCGGGCAAGGTGGAGGGCGGGGGAGGAAGCAGCAGGAAGGAACGCACCAGGAGGGGGCGGAGCAGCACTCAACGCACCATGCCACACAGCCCTCGTTACAACGCCAGAGCAGCAGGGGATGACAGAGCAGCACTCAACGCACCATGACCTGCTGCAGCAGGAAGCGCACGTAGTGAACCGCCTCCAGCAGGAAGGGGAGTCGAGTCGATGCCACACAGCCTTGCTTACAATGCCACAGACCAGCAGGGGACACACCGGGCTGGGGGGGGGAGGCGAATCAGCAGTCAACGCACCATGACCTGCTGCAGCAGGAAGCGCACGTAGTGAACCGCCTCCAGCAGGAAGCTCTCTGTAGTCATCGTGGCTGCACCCGGCACCAGCCCCTGCAGCACCCTCATACGTGCGTTGACCCGCTCCCGCCGCATCTGAGGGGGGGGGAGTGGGTGTGGGGGTATGGAAGTGCGTGTGGGGAGCACTGAGGACGGCCTCCAGCAGGAAGCTCTCCGTTGTCATCGTTGCCGCCCCCGGCACCAGCCCCTGCAGCACCTGCATGCGTGCATTCACCCGCTCCCGCCGCATCTAAAGGGGAAGGCCGGATGGGACGGGGGCGGGGAGGAGAAGAAGAGAAGGTAGTGGCAGTGGTGAGGGAGTGGGGGTACGGAAGTGCGTGTGGGGAGCACTGGCGACCGGCCTCCAGCAGGAAGCTCTCGGTCGTCATCGTGGCTGCCCCCGGCACCAGCCCCTGCAGCACCCGCATGCGTGCGTTCACCCGCTCCCGCCGCATCTGAGGAGGTGAGGGAAGGGGGGGGGGGGGGAGAGAGAAGGAGCGCGGGGGGAAATGGGGGGGGGGGGAGGGTGAGAGCGAGGAGCAGGAAGCTCTCGGTCGTCATCGTTGCTGCCCCCGGCACCAGCCCCTGCAGCACCCTCATACGTGCGTTGACCCTCTCCCGCCGCATCTGCGAAGGAGAGAAGGAAGCGCGGGTGCATGAGGGAGTAGCGGTGCGAGCATGCAGCACCTGCATGCGTGCATCCTCTCTCTCGCGCCGCTTCTGAGGGGGAGGGCGAGTGCGAGCAGCAGGCATAGAGGGCGAGTGCGAGCAGCAATGCGAGGAGGGAGGGGTACGAGAGAGTGTATGGGGAGAATGGGTAGCAGTGTGTGTGGAGGGGGCGGGGTGGGGGGAAGAGAGCTGGTAACAGTGTGTGTGTGGAGGGAAGACAGTCAAGTCATCTCTCTTGTCCGTCAGGCTGTGCTCCTGTCATACTGACGACACTGGGCGACACTGGGCGACACTGGGCGACACTGGGTGACACTGGGTGACACTGGGTGAGACTGGGTGACACAAGACATCCACCCTGCGCCCATAGGTCCTAACTTCCCTGTTTCCGCCATTCCACATGCACACCCATCCCCCCCTCCCTCCCACGCTCATCTCTCGTCCCCTCCTCCTCCCCCTCCTCCACCCCCAGTTCCCCTTTTCCCCTTTCCCTTTCCCTCGGTTCCCCTTTCCCCCGAGCGCTGCGCTCACCCGCGCGGCCATGGCCTGGGGGCCCAGGTTCTGCCCTTTCTTCGACGACTGCTGCCCCCCGCCGCCCCCAAAGTCATCCCCCCTTCCGCCTCGCTCCCCCGCGCCTCCGCCCGCCCCGCCTTGCGCGGAGAGAGACTCCTCCCACGCCTTCCGAATCGCCCTTCCCTCTCGCGCTGCCACCTCAGACGTTCCCACGGCACGTGGCAACGACCCGTCTCCTCTGCTTCCCGAAGCGCCCGCTAAATCCGCCGCTTCGTGCGCGCCCTGCCCCTCGCGCAGCTCCCCCTCCCCGCCGCCCGCGAAGTACCCCGAGTGCACTAACTGCCAAATCGCCTCCAGCTCAGATCGCGTCGGCATGACGTCATCGGCGCCGCCTCGCGCGGCCGGCCGGCTGCCGCCCACAGCTGGTCTCTTGGAACTTTCTGAGCGATGAGCGTCCGCGTTATTAGCGTCCCCGCGATCGGCAAAACCGTCGGCGCGTCCTGCTGCGCCAGCCTCCGGTCTACCGCTCTGCGTGGCCGCGCCTCCCTCGGAGTTGCCGCGCGCGCGCTTCAGGAGCGCGGAAGCTTCCGCCGCAGCGTCGACGTTGAATTCCCCGACCGCCTCCCCCTCAAGCTTCCGCTTGAGCGCCGCTTCAAGCGCGCGCACTGCTGCCGCCGCGAGCTGTATTTCCATCGCCGCGCGGGCAGGGTGCGCGAATGGCGCAAGTTTTGCGCGGCCGCGAACAGGAGCGATTGGGCGCAAAACGAGAATCGCTCGCTTCGATTTGCTTGCCTTCCCTGTTCTCCGCGCAGCTAGCGGAGGGAACGAGTCGCCAAACACACAGACGGCTCGAGCTGCTGATGCGAGGTGTGCGGGAAGGCGGTTGGAAGAAAGGCGTTATTGTTGGGCTGGAAGCAAGACCCGAGCGATGCGCGGGCGAAAGCTAAGAGCGTGGAGGGCAGGGAGCAGGCGTGCGCAGGTGGTACGAGAAGTCAATCCGGTTAGCTTAGCTTTCTAGGACAGGATGCAACTAACAAACAAGGCTGAGTGAGTGCATCATCAAAGGGACACATTGCCTTAGCAGGCCGTTTCACGTCCAGGCGCCGACAGCCTTCGCGAAAGCTGGTATTTATGCTGAAGGGCTGTACGGATCACTGGAATGTCGTTGATGTGCGACGAGTATTACCCTTCGTCACACTCGCGGCTTCGTTTGTTACATCACCCCCCAGCCCCCCCAACCTCCCCCGCCGAGAAACGTTCCGCGCGGCTCTACCCGCTGCGCTTGACGGCGATTGTTCGGAGCCCGCAGCAGTTGGTTCTCCCCCGCGCCAAGGCCTGACTGCGAGCAGCCGTCCACCATTTTCATGCTTGTTCAATTGACTTCAAAGGTTCAGTCTGGTGCGCAATGGTCTAAAGCGGTCATAGTGGAACGCCTCTCTCAAACGTGGTTGACCGGACTAAACCGCGTCAAAAGCCAAAAAAAAAAAAAAAAAAAAAACAAGAGGCGACGAAATCGTCTTAAGGTTGCGAAGCATTTTGCAAAATTACATTAACCTGTAAAGCTAATAGAGTGTACAAAACTTAGACATTCCAACAATCATCTTGAGTTGTAACCAAGATCTGGTAAAACTGCACACCTACAACAATTGAACCGGAGACCGTTTAACACCTAGTCGATGTAATCACAAATGCGCTACAAACGACTTACATGTTAGTCTGTTTTAATTTATTGGTTCAATTTTTGTGCGACGAAATTTGAACTTCTCTAGGGTTTCGATGTCCTTTTCTTCTTTGTCTCTCCCACTCGTGAGTGGAGCCCAGTTTATATGAGCCCGGTACTCACGCTCCATCTGCTGCTCCATCTCCATCTGCCCGGTACTTCCTTTTAATAGATTCCGCATCTAGTGACGTTTGACTAGGTTTTCGTGACCATTTTTTCTTTATCCGTTCTTCACCCTTCCTTCTCTTTTTTCAGACTCTTCGATTAGCCACTCCTTCTATTCGTAGCTGCATCGTTTCTTCATTCTTAGTTTCTGTTTTTGAACTCTCTCTCTCTCTCTCTCTCTCTCTCTCTCTCTCTCTCTCTCTCTCTCTCTCTCTCTCTCTCTCTCTCTCTCTCTCTCTCTCTCTCTCTCTCTATCTCTCGTTCGTTCTCTCTCGTTCTCTCTTTCTCGTTCTCTCTCTCTCTCGGTCTCTCTCTCTCGGTCTCTCTCTCTCTCTCTCTCTCTCTCTCTCTCTCTCTCTCTCTCTCTCTCTCTCTCTCTCTCTCTCTCTCTCTCTCGTTCTCTCTCTGGTTCTCTCTCTCTCGTTCTCTCTCTCTCTCGTTCTCTCTCTCTCTCTCTCTCTCTCTCTCTCTCTCTCTCTCACTCACTCTCTCTCTCTCTCTCTCTCTCTCTCTCTCGTTCTCTCTCTCTCTCTCTCTCTCTCTCTCTCTCTCTCTCCCTCTCTCGTTCGTTCTCTCTCTGTTTTTCTTTCTCTCGTTCTCTCTCTCTCGTCCTCTCTCTCTCGTCCTCTCTCCCTTGTTTTGAAACCATTCGTCTTGTTTTCTTTGCTTCTTCCTTTCGGTTGATTTTCTTTCACCGTATTCGCTCTTTATCCCTTCTACTCGTTCCTTTCTTCGTCTTGTGATGCTTGTTTTCTTTCTTCACCAGGTTTCGCGTACGCCAGATTAACTACCTTATGATTGAGCCAAGCGATTGGGAAATGTTGGATTGTGGAATTTAATTTAGATTGCTGTTCATAAATTTTCCATCTTCTGTTTTCATTTTTTCCTACTTTCTTTTTTTAGTTTGTGCATTTGTATGCGGTTCTATTATCGTTAGTTTGCCTTCGTATGTGTGTGTGTATGTGTGCGTATGTGTCATTGTATGCATGCATGTGTATTATTTTATGTCCATCATTGCATCGACAATGCATGTCTGTGAATTTTAAAAAGATGGCTCAGGTCTATCATTTCACAAAAGGTTTATTGGCGCACAAAGTGACTCGTGTGTTGCGACTTCGAACTGGATTTGATAGCGTTGACATTTTTTTTAGGATTTACAGATTGTGTTGTTTCATGTGATAGTTGATTATTCAAAATCTATGCTATTGACCTCCCCCCCATGCTAGGCAGGGGATGGCGGTGTCAAACATTAATCACATAGCCTATCTAGGCTGTAGTGGGGTAGACACTATGGGGTACAGTTTCCTAGGGTTTCATATTTGTACCCAACTCATTTCCTAGTCAATCATTCATTCCCATTTCTTCACATGGTATAGAGCGGGTTCCCTAGTGGGACCGTTCCTTCCTAAGGGCCCAATTTTTTTTTTTTTTTTTTCTACCTGCCTGAAGCGCGCTTCGTGCTCTGCCCTACCCTCGATTTCGCGGCCCCTTAGCGGCCCGTCCTGCCCTACGCGGCCCCTTTGCGGCCCAATAGCGGCCCCTTCGCGGCCCCGTTGCGACCCCGCCCCGGCCCTTCCCGTCGCCCGAAGCCGCCGCGTTGCGGCCTTATCGCGGCGCCGCCCCGGCCCTGCCCCGTCGCCCGAAGCCGCCGCGTCGCGGCCCTATCGCGGAGCTGCCCCGGGCCTGCCCCGTCGCCCGTTGCGACCCCGTCGCAGCCCCGCCCTGGCCCGTCGGTCGTCGCGGTCCTGTCGCGGCTCGGCCCCGGCCCTGCCCCGGCCCTATCCCGGCCCTGTCGCGGCCCTGTTCCGGACCTATCGCGGCCCTACCCCGGCCCTGCCCCGGCCCTGCCCCAACCCTGTCGCGGCCCTGCCCCGGCCCTGTTGCGGCCCTGTCGCGGCTCTGCCCCGGCCCTGTCCCGGCCTTGTCCCGGCCTTGCCCCGGTCCTGCCCCGGCCCTGCCCCGACCCTGCCCCGGCTCTGCCCCGGCCCTGCCCCGGACCTGTCGCAGCCCTGCCCCGACCCTGCCCCGGACCTGTTGCAGCCCTGCCCCGGACCTGTTGCAGCCCTGCCCCGGCCCTCCCCCAGCCCTGCCTCGGCCCCGCCCCTGGTAAGAGCACCGCCGAGCCGGCCCGCCCTGCCGAGCCGCGCTGCCCTGCCTAGCCGCGCCGCTTAGCCGAGTCGCACTGCTGCTGCTGCTAGCCTGCTGCTGCTACTGTTATGGCTAGTCCAAGTGTTCTTACCTTTGATGCTGAGGGTCGGGCGGTTGACTTCGAGGTCTGGATAGATGATCTGCAGCTTTTCCTACAGTGCGATAGCAAAGATGGTCTCTCACTGTTCGATCTCACGTCTGGCGCCTCTACTGCCCCTGCTGCTGATGCTGACAGTACTGCTCGCTCACAGTGGACCACACGCGATGCTGCTGCCCGCCTTGCTGTGCGTAGTCACCTACCGTCTACTGAGCGCGCGCACTTTAGTCAGTACAAGAGTGCTAAGACTCTGTACGACGCTGTAGTTGCACGCTACTCTTCCCCTGCCACTGCTGCGCTTAGTCGCCTCATGCTACCGTACCTGTTCCCTGACCTCGCCGCTTTTGCCACAGTCACTGACCTCATTACGCACCTCCGCACTAGTGACACCCGCTACCGCGCTGCGCTTCCTGCTGAGTTCTGCGCCAAGAACCCCCCTCCCATGTACATCACCCTCTACTACCTAGTCACCCGACTCCCTGACACCCTTCGCTCGGTCAGGGACCACTTCCTCTCTCTTTGCCCTACCACACTCACCGTTGACCTCCTCGAGGAGCGTCTCCTTGCAGCAGAGACTAGTATTACCGCTGTAGGAGCCTCTCGTGGTGACCCCCGTACCCCTTTCTTTGAGGGGTGCTCCCCCGTTCCTCTTTTGCCCTTCGTTGCCTCTGCTGCTGCTGTCGACCTTGTTGGCACCGAGTCGGTCAGCGCTGCGTCTGCTCCTAGCGAGAGGCGCCGCAACGGCAAGGGCAAGCGGGGCAAGGGCGCTGGAGGAGGTGGCGGGGGAGGAGGTAGTGGCGGTGGAGGCGGAGGAGGGGGTGGGGGTGGGGGTGGAGGCAGAGGTGGGGGCTTCGGTGGCAGCGGTGGATGTGGAGGCAGCGGTGGCGGTGGCGGTTGGGGTGGAGGCGGCGGAGGCGGAGGTGGAGCTGGTCGAGGCGGAGCTGTGCAGCGGGGACCCCAGCACCAGCCGCGCTCTCGTGAGACCCCGTCGTCACAGCAGCTTCGTGAGTGGTACGCAGGGCGCCAGAGGTCTGGGGGTGCTGGTCCCTGTACCTACGTCCTGCGCACCGGCGACCGCACTGGAGAGCAGTGTGGCGGCCTGCACGCCCCCCAGCGCTGCTTCGGTCGCCTGACTGACGCCTGGCGTACCCAGTTCCCTGACGCCACTGAGATCCCTCGCTGGGGTGATCTGCTCAGGTCGGGTGTAGCTATCTTTGATCTTGACTTTGATGCTATTCTTGCTGCCATGTATGCTGTGTCTATTAGTGCTGAGGGTGATTGTTACGTGTGTGTTCCGCCTGACCCGGGCATTGAGGCTGCTGCTCTAGGTGCTAGTGAGTCTGCTGCTCCAGGTGCTCGTGAGTCTGCTGCTCCAGGTACTAGTGAGTCTGCTCTCTCAGGTACCGCGTCGGCTCAGGTTTTGCACACCTTCACCCTCGACTCGGCGGTAGCTTAGTTATTGGGTCGTTAACTGTTACGCATTTTATTATGTGCATACATGTGCATCATGATTCATGACATATCATATTGAACATTATGCATATAGCATTATTTTATGCACAT